CCCGTCCTCCCGGAGCCACACCCTTCTCACCCTCACCTGAGGAGGGAAGCTCCGACTTACAGGATTTGCAGGTCGGGCTGTGGAGGCAAATAAAGAGAGAGAAGCATAAAGAGGCTCCATAGCCGCGGGCTTCATGGGGACACAGGGCAGGCACGGGCCCCTTCTCATATGGGGGCCCCGGGGCCCCAGGTTGCTCCCACCCTCACCCCACTCTCCCCGCTGCTGCCAGACCTCTCAGACCTGGAGTCGGCCTTCCTGCACTTCACCTTCTTGCCTGTTAGGAGACAGAGAGAGCAAGGAGACAGGACAGAGGGGTCTGGACAGGGGCCAGCAGAAGAGCTGTAGGAGCCTGGGGACCGGAGGTGGCCCTCTGAGGGACTCTGGAGGCCAGGAGAGGGTCACACTTACTGATAACGATGAGAATGCCCAGCAGGAACAATATGGTAGCCAGAGTCATGCCCACAGTCTGCACAGTGTCATAGTCTGGGGAAGATAATGGGGACATCAAGGTGGGGGTGGCACCTCACCCCACCCCCCACACCGCTCCGGGGCCTCGGTCTGGCTTCCAGGCTGCCCAGCCAGGGCCCCATAATTCAGGGATGCTGCAGGCCGTGCTGGAGGCTCCTCCAGGGGCTGGTGTGAGGATGGAGGGCATGAGCTTGGACAGCGCTGCTCCCCGTGGTCTCTCTACCCTTTACCCTCCCCTGGAGTCTTCGCCCCTAGACATGTATGTAACCTTCCTCTAAGGCTAGATGTGGGCGTGGCTCCTCTGGCTGGGGAGCCAAGGATGGCCACAAATCTTTCCCACAGTCCCCATAGGTGGGAACTATCACTATCTCTTATTTACAGAAGGGTCCAGAGAGGCAACATTGCTTGCTCAGGGCCACACAGCTAGTGAGTGAATAAGCCAGGATTCAATCCAGGCAGCTGGCCTCGGGGTTGTTTGCTTCTCTGATGCACCAGCCCAGGGTCCTGGTGAAGCCTGAAGGGGGCCAGAGAGGGTAACCCCCCAAGGCTGATTCTGCCCTCCATGAGCCCAGTTGATATGAACGGCATCCACGTGGTCACATGGCCAGTGGCCCGGCATGTACCATGTAGCCATAGCTGAGGCCACTGCAGCAGTGACCCGGAGGGATCTGGAGCCACCCCTCCCTCCAGCCCCAGGGTGCCCTCATCACAGAATCCGCCACTCACCATAGTAAAATGGGTCAGGTTCCTGAGGAGCTGTGGGAAGGAAGGCAAAGAAAGAGAGAGAGGGAAAAAATATTTCAATACTGGGTTTCTTAACATTTTTGAGAATCCAGATGGGGCCACCAGCTCAATGGTTTCTGTGTAGAAATAAGATAAAGAGACCCATTACTCTGGATGATATAGCCTCATAGCAGGACACAAGGCGTGAAGAGTGGAGCATAGGCTGGATTCTAGTCCCCACTCATTCCACTAGTTGGTATCTTCCCTTCTGCAGTGCACAACCTACCCAACTGTACCATGGCCGTCCTGATCCTAGCCCACTGTGGAGGTCTGATGCAAGCTATGGACTCATTTTCTGAAAAACATATACACACTCCCATTTGCATCTGGTGCTGGGGGTTAACAGACTCCAACCCCTCTGGTGGACTGCTAAGGGTATCAGCTTCCCCTGAACACCCCCTAAAACTTCCCAGTCATCTGAGAAAGGCAGGCACTGTGCCTACCGCTCTCAGCCACTTGCTCCTGCCACCAGATCCAGGACAGGGGAGCTGTCCTATAATATGCCCTATCTTATAATATATCCTATATTACTTATTTCTAAGACACCATTGATTTTAAGATTCAAAATTGATTTCCTAATAGCTTGCCCAGTGTGTGTGTATCTGCGTGACTATGTATGTAACTGGCCCAGAAGGAATGTACCCATCATTAGAAGACTGGCCCTGACTTCATAAATGTTGATGTGCGGATAGAATGCATGTGTGTCTGTGGATTTGCATTTCCCTATCTCCTACCTCCCTGTCCCACACCATCCTCAGGAGGGCTCAGAACAGCCTTCCCATTCAAGAAGCCCATCCTGATGGCTCCCTAATCCCCCTGAGCCCTTAGTACATTCTGCCTGGTCTCGAGCAGAATTCTGCAAAGCATCCTAGGGGTGGGGACCAGGCGTGCCAGGGCGGTGCCAGATGTTGTCATTAGTGTCCTTCCTCAGTCCAGGCTTGGGGAAGGATGGGGGGGGGGGGCATGTGACTAATTCTGGCCCGTGAACTGTGAGTGGAAGTGTCATTGTCACTTCCAGGCTGGAGCATTTCAGTGCTCATGCAAGAGCTCTCTTTTGCCTTGAGCCTAGTGACACGAATGTTCACGATGGTGGCTGCTCCTGTCTTCTTTGGTAAGGAGAGACCCCCGGTTGACCTGAGATGGACATATAGTGTAAGTGAGAAGTAAACTTTGGTTATCAGAAGCTGCTGGGATGGTGGGTACTATTTGTTACCACGGCAGCCTGGAGCCTAAAGTGACCAATACAGGTGGCCCTGGGCCAGACCCTGAACAGCACTGAGTCAGGCAATGTGGAAGGTCGCCCTCCTCAGTCCTCTGTCCAGACTTCAAAGAGAAAGTCTTAGGTGGGTGTTGCTGTGTCTTTAACACCTTTCAGCCCTTGTTAATCTCCCCTTTACCCAAGAGAGAACAGGCCCTGGGCCTAGGGTCTTCAGCAGCAACAATATCCAGGTAGAATTTTGTGACATTATTAGGCTATCTCTTTATTTATTTATCTAACCCGCATTTGATGGCACCCACAACCTCTCTTCTCAGCACGTTACAGATATTAACACACTTCCTGTTTGCAGCAGCCCCCTGGTACAGGTGCCATCTGCATCCTCATTCCACGAAAGAGGGACGCTGGTGCCACATCTTTAAGATCATTTTTATACCTGCCTTCAATTTAAGGCAACAAATCCTGATTTTCCACTTGTGGTGATGATATAAAATAAAGCTAATTAAGTTTTTAAAAAGTTAATCGAATAAATAGCAGTGTGGGGAACATTTGGACAGGGCAGAAATCGTGAAGGTGGCACTCCAAAGCTCCTGATGGGGAGACATGTTTTAGAGTCATCTGTGCTCTGTCTTAGCTCCCCCACCAGATGGGGAGAAAATTTGCTTAACTCATCTCTGTTGTTAATCCTGGCATTTATACAAGTCTTTCAAAGAAGTTTTTTAGAATGAATGAAAGAACCAACGAATGAATGAATGAATGAATGTGAGCCCCTGCTGGGCTGCAGGAGGCTGCATCAGAGGTGGACCAGTGAGGGCCGGCCTGGTGGCGCAAGCGGTTAAGTGCGCGCGCTCCGCTGCGGCGGCCCGGGGTTCGCTGGTTCGGATCCCGGGCGCGCACCAACGCACTGCTTGGCAAGCCATGCTGTGGCGGCGTCCCATATAAAGTGGAGGAAGATGGGCACAGATGTTAGCCCAGGGCCGTCTTCCTCAGCAAAAAAAGAGGAGGATTGGCAGATGTTAGCACAGGGCTGATCTCCTCACAAAAAAAAAAAAAAAAAAAAAAGAGGTGGACCAGTGAGATATCCTGCCTTTGCCTCCTGCCTTTCCACACTCCCCACCTCCCCAAACCATCAGGAGCCCACTGGGGGAGCACCTGTCCCCGAATCCTCTTCGGTTCCTCCCTAGGTGCTCTGTGCCCCATGCAGAAGTCCCTCTTCTGGCCCCTGCTGCCCTGGCAATGTGGGTCCTCAGGGCAATGCTGGGCTAGGGTAGAGCCAGGAGGCAGGAGAAGGAATGTGCACTACTCCTGGCCAGTTGCCAGGGAGACATCAGGAAGGAGGTGGTTGCTATGGCAACTGGGGCATCTCAAGAGGTGAGGAGAGGTGATGGGTCTGGGCACCCCAGGCTGGGTGGGGTCCTATGTGGGGCTTGGGGGTTGGGTTTCTAACTCTGGGGCCAATGTTGACTCCCCCTGCTCCCTTTGTACCTCCCATTCTTGCCCCTGCAGGGCTGGCTTCGGGCCAAGCCAGGGGTCCTTCTCAGCGATGGGGACCCAGGCCCAGTCATGCCCCACACCCCCTTTCTGTTTGCCCCCAGCTCTCCCTCCTGCTCACTGACAGGGTGGGAGGAGCCTTCACCTTCTTCCCCCAACAATTATTAATTAGTTTCCTTAAGGAGTTTGCAACACACAGCATGCTTTTCCTCCTCCGGCTTTCCCAAGACCTGCGGTCCCCTCTCTTGCTGTGACTGGGGAAAAGGTGTGTGTGGAGGGGTATCTGTCCTCCCACTCTGCCTGTCTGCTGCCATCGATCCTGCTAACCACCATCTCTGCGAAAAGAAGCTCTGGGCTCCCGCCAGGCCTGCTGGCTCAGCCCTGCCCCCTCTCCCTAGGGTGGCTTCCAGCCTCTGCAGCCCCCCCCCCGCCCTGCTTCGAATTCTGCAGATATGGCTCAGTGCAGCAGCCCCCGCCCAGCAAAAAAGGGGGCAGGGAAGGAAAGACTGGAGCGGAATTGGGGTTCCCTTCACTGCCAGGGGCTCCTCAGCACTGCTGGTCTCTCCCCTGGCCCTGCTCTCAGTGCTGGAAGCCCTCTCCGTGCCCCCCTCCCCCATTAAAGCATTCTTCCCCTTGCTCCTCTGCAGAAGCAGGCACAGGGAAGGGGGCAGCGAGTGTGGAACGGGTGTGTAACTGGGTTAATGGGAGTGAAATGGACATTGCCATGTGGCTGGATGGGGGGGAAGGGGCATCTGTGTGCAGACCCAAGTGCACCTCCAGACCAGAGGACACTCCGGATGTTGGGTGGAAAGGAGGGTCCCGTCCCCCATTCCTGCCCAGGGGGCTCACTGCAGTGGCTTGGCCGCGCCCCGTGCTGCCCTTCCCTCTCTCCACTCCTCATTGGCACTGTGTCCACCTCTCTCTCCTCCTCTGTGTCTTTCCCGGTGCCTCCCTCTCCATACTCGCTTCAGTCTTTCTGTCTCTCAGTCTCTCATTTTCTCTCTCTCCTTCTCTGCATCTCTGTCTGTTGCTCGCTGCCTCCCCGCCTCACTCTCTGAATCTCTCTGGGTCTCACATCTGTCTGTCTTTCTCTCTGGGTCTCTCTTTGTGTCTCTGACTCTGGGTCTCCTGTCTCTCTTAGTCTCTCTCTATCTTTCTCAGGCTCTCTCAGTCTCTTTCTAGATCCCTCTCTGTCTCCCTCTCGCTTTCTGTCTCTCTCCATCTCTCTCTCTCATTTCCCCCAGCTCTCCTTCTCCCTGTCTTTCCTGTTTCTCCCCGCTTCTCGCTGAACCTGCTCATCAGGGATTTCAACACCAACCATAGGAGCCAGCGCTGCAAAAAAGAGAGATATGGACCCCCTCTCCTTACCCCCCCAGGGGCCCTGAAATCTACGAGAACCTCTGTGGCCACAGACCCACCCGCTCCCACCCTGGAAGCGCATCTCTTCCCATCCACTACCACCGCTGTGCAGGACCAGCCACCCGGTTGCCATAGCTACCGGTCCGAGCATCCTTTCTCCCGGGACTGCAGCTCTCCAACCGCGGGGTCCCGCACAGGAACGACACCACCAGGAGGGGGTGTCCAAGAGGCCCGGAGGGGCGCCAAGGGGTGCACTGCAGGGGCCTCCGCCCATGGGAGGAACGGACATCCTTTTCCCCACTCCCCCCCTTTCCAGTACTGGACTCTCCCCAGATCCTCTCTCCTAAGCTCTAAGACCCCGGAGCCCCCCTACGCCCTCTCCCCAGGCAACGCTCACCCTCTGTGGTGGCCTGGGTCGGGGTCGCCATGCCTGGCCGGAGCAGGGGGCGGCTGGATGCCGAGGCGGTGAAGGCGCGGCTGCAGCAGCTGGAAGCGGGACGGACTGATGTCGGGGGGAGATGGGGGGAGCCCTGGTGTTGGGGGGCGGTAGCCAATGGGTGCCCGGAGAGCCCGCCCCCGTCCAGGCCACCCCCGCCCCCGCCCCCGCCCACTACCGACGTCCCCGCCCCTTCCCCAAGGGTGGGGGCGCCCCCTGCCGGGGCCAAGGGGGCGCCGAGGCTTTCGCGCAGAAGGACCGACAGATCCACAAAGCGCTGTCAAGAGAGAAAGCACGTTTTATTGGAAGTCTGGGTTGCCGAGAGGAGTCTGTGGGGCGGGGTTCGGGAAGAGGCAGTCCTGGTGGCGGTGGGCGCGCGGGTGGTGGGTGGGAGGTGTCAGGTGCCAGGGGAATCCTGTGGGGTGAAAAGGGTGAGAGGCAGAAGAGCCCTCCCAGCCCTTCGCCCCCTCCTCCTCCTCCTCCTCCTCCCTCCCCCAGCCTAGTCAGAGCTGCAGGACCTGGCTGGGTTCCATCGCGCCAGGTGTTTCTACCGCCTGCGGGTGGACAGACCTGGGGGGGACACAGAGAGTCCGGGAGTCAGGAGGGACACCCTCCTGTGGGGGGGGGGATCTCCCTGTCCTCGGGTTTTAGATCAAGCCACCTCCCTCCACGCGCCCAGGGAGGGCCAGGAAAGGGGTTCTTGGAATCCGCCCTCGCCCCCAAACACCCGAAGTCTCTCCAAACTCACGGCGGATGGAGCTGCGAAAAGTTCCCTCCTCCTCATCAGGTTCCCCAGTCCTGGGAAAGGAGAAGCAGAAGGAATTGGGGATGGGAAAGGAGAGAGGCAGCGCTCCCAGGAATCCCCCAATGCGGCGTCATTTCATAGACCGTTGTACCAAGGCCCAGAGGTGGGCGAGGAGCCGGCTCCGGGTCCACCAGAAAACCAGGCGCCCCCGGGAGCGGTTCCAGTGTGTGGCAGGAGGCACTCCCCGCCGGTGACAGTGAGTGCCTCCGGGGGTGCTGGGGAAGGGACTGGAAGGTGGTGGGGGAGGGATGATCAAAGGGACTTGAGGGCAGACTGCCTGGAGACGGCCTAGGTTAGAAACCCAGAACCCTCATCGTCTAGCTGAGTGATCCTGGGCCAGTGCCTTGACCTCCCTGTGCCTCCGTTTCCTCATCTGTAAAATGAGGTTGATAAGAGCCCCCGCCTCATAGACGTGGTAGGAGGGGCACATAAGATAATACACAATGAGACAGTATCCGGCACGTAGGACACACCCAACAAATATTAGCTATTATTTATAATAACATTCATCATTGCTTTAACGTGGAGAAGGTATTCATACTCTGCCTGGGCTTTAAATTTTTATTTCAAGATGAATCAAACAGCTAGGAGCAGACTCCGAGCTAAACTGGGCCGCCAAGTGAGGTGATCTCATTTCGCCCGGCTCTTCCTTTCACAGCACTTATCACGCTGTGTGATTTTTTTATTTGTGGGGCTGTTGGAACCCACGGCCACCACCCCCGCCGGGCTGGGAGCTCAGCCAGGCCGGGAGGCGGCTAATTCCCGGCTGGGTCCCAGGGCCTGCCATGGGGCTCGGCGCGCAGTAGGCGCTTAATACAGGTTTGTGGAAGGGTCTCCGGCGGCGTGTTGGGTGGGCTTCCCGGTCACCCCTAGCGCCCCTCTAGAGGGGGAGTAGACAAGTGCGGGCCCGGAGGGCCTCCTACCTCTGCTGCTGGTTGAATTTGCACCGGCACCTTCTGCCTGTGGGTGGGAAGTCGGGGGAGACAGGGCTGAGCGTCGGCTCTAGGGGGCACCGCGCGGCGCTCTTGCTCCAGCTCCCCCTCACGAGAGGCGGAGCGGCGGGGATAGGGGCGGGGCCAGAACGGAGGCGGGGCCTAGGGGGATGGGGCGGAGCCGAGGGCGGGGATAGGGCAGGGCAGGGACAGAGGCTGGGCCTAGAGGGTAGGGGGGTGCCGAGGGCGGGGATGGGCAGGGCAGGGACAGAGGCTGGGCCTAGAGGGTAG